AAAAAAAGCAAATTAAAAATCTAACATGACTGCCTGCCAAGAAGGGATGAGCAACAGAGAGGTTCCCCCCCCCTTCTGATTGGAATATTTTAAATATCCAGCAACTCAAGCATCAAACTAAGTTTTACATATTTTTTTATGATTTCATGCTACAATGATGTCAAAATTAATTTCCTTTTCAAGAAAATTGCATCAAGATCTTTTGCTGTCTAAAACGGAAAATTATCCCCAATACAAATTATTCCCAATAACAATAATCAAGTGCATAATGCCCATAGCCTGGAAAATTACTTAAATGTTTCAGGCAAAACCCCTCAGAACTGCATCTCCAACTCCAAGTAAAATAATAATAAGAAGAAGAATCCATGAACAATTTAACTTTTTATGACATCCAAAGTAATTTGTTTGTAGCAAATGCAGTTATACCTTGGTACCTGAAAGTCCACCTTTGATGCATAAAATAAATCTGATATTTCTCCTGTCTCCAAGTACAGGTAGTCCTCAACTTACGACCATTTGTTTAACAACTGTTCAAAGTTACGGTACTGAAAAAAGTAACTTACGACTGGTCCTTGCACTTATGACCATTGCAGCATCCCCGTGGTCACGTGATCAAAATTCAGGCACTTTGCAACCGGCATGTATTTACAACTGCAGTGTCCTGGGGTCAGAGAATCGCAATTTGCGACCTTCCCAAGTAATGGGGGAAGCCAGATTCGCTTAACAACCATGGCAAAAAAGGTAATAAGATCAGGTGCAACTCACTTAACAACCGCATCACTTAGCAATGGAAGTTCCGGTCCCAATTCTGGTCATAAGTCAAGGGCTACCTGTATTGATGTTATAATCCTTCTGAATTAAAACACGTTTAATAAATTTGGTATCAACAATATGTAATATATACAGAGTTCCAAATCTGAATTTGTATCTTTGGGATAAAAGGACAAAAATCCTACTTACGGATTATCCAGCAGCAACACAATCGGATTGAGTTCTTTCTTTGGTCTGTAATAAGCCCTGAGAGGAACAATAAAGTTGTAGAGTCCATTTCCAGCAGTCTCTGCAGCAACTATAATTATTTTGTTTTTGAATCCATAAGCTTTGGCATCTTCATAGTAGTTATGCTGGCACCCCTAAAATCAATAAATTAGAACAGGCCCAAAAAATCATAGGAAAAAAATTGACAACACAATACCTATCACCTGCTGGATGTAAAATTTTCCTGCTTCTCAGAAATTTTTGGCCCCAAAGTATACCTATATTGAAAGTATTTGTAGCATTTCATGCCCAGCTTTTAACCATTTAAGGTATATTTAAACTTTCATTAAGTCAGTTTTAAAGGAATGCCTCATATTTTACATAAAGATGTTTATTTGATTTCAATTTTGATATTGAGAAATTTTCTGTTGCTGAAGATATTTGAGTATATCTAGTGTATTTTCTGAGATTAAAAGAGTCAGCGTTCCATGCTACATTGGCAACAGTTTCATTACAATCAGTCTTCCCTGAAAAACATGAATGTTTTGGTTTTATATTTGCACGGAGGGATTGGAAAAGGATAGGAAGTTCATACAGTCTGGCGTACCAAACAAGAGAAGCATTTTCTGATCTTGGATCAGAAAATGTTTCACCTTCTGAACGTGTGACACCTCATGCTGAAATAAAATTGGGCTAGGCTCAGCCGTACAGAAGCATATGAAAAGCAAAGAAAACTAGCGTCTGAGCACTGCGTGTTGCAATCCTATTACTTACAATAGTCATTGAAACCTGAAACCCAGCCCATATTTTAAGGTTAAATACGGATAACATTTCAGGATGTGGCTAGATTATCCTCTTAAATCTGATGTGGCCAAAACCACAATGTTTCTACCACCAGACAATCTGTTTGTCAAGTAGAACGGTGAACACCACAACCCTTAATGACTCAGTACTGAATTAATTGTGCAATCATAAACATGGTCTGAATGCCTTATCTCTAAAACAAATATATGCCCAGAAGAAGTATTATAGCTACATAAAACATCACTTTACCTTATCTAATCTGAGACAGCAAAATGGTGCTTTTTCATGGAGCAAATGGCAGAAGGTAGGAGAACTTCCTATATAAGGTGAGTAAGGGGGATAGCCTTTTAAATACCTAAAATGAAGAAGAATCTGGTCTCATTCTTTGCATTTAGGAGCACATGCACACCCACTTATTTTGTTTCTTTTGGCTGAGATGCACAGCAACTTGTGTTTTTTAAGCAGACACTCGAGAGACACTCCATAGCAATTGGAAAATATTAAACTATCCTACAGCTCTAAAGCAGCACAACGTCTCTCAAAAGGCCAATCGTTTCTCAATCTTAAATTTCTCTCCTCTTGAACTCTCCAATTTTCAGCCATGGCTCAAATGCGGATAGTGTGTGTATGTGTGTGTCTATGTCTCTCTGTAATAAATATTGTTACTTTTTTTGGCATTTACCGTACTTTTCAGCTCTATTCCTAGAAAGCCTCACTTTGCCCAAATGTGGGCGTTGATTCTCTTACTGGTTATCTAAGTTATATAATTGGTTATATTAGACATAAAGTCTTCCCTCTTGTGACCTTGTTTTATTTATTTTGTTTTTATCCACGTCTATTGTTTAACTGGTTCTATTGAATGTTTTAATTTTGGTTTTATTGTACGCCGCCCAGAGTCACTTTGACTGACATGGGCAGCCATATAAATGTGATAAATAGATAAAATAAAAATAAAATAAATATAAGGTGTCAAAGTTGCTTTCCTTTGATGAGACATTTTGGGTTGCAAAGGTCGCATCAAAGCCATGTGGGTGTCTTGTTGAAGCAACCCAGTTTGCCTCCATGAAGGGTATGTGGGGTCACCTTACAGCTTCCCCCAGCACTTGCAAAAACTTCTGCACATGCAACCGTCCGAAGCATCTTTTGTGCACCCTCTGCACATGCACAGAAGCTCCTTCAGCTTTTGCAAGCACCAGGGGAAGCTGTAAAAGTGGCTTTCCAGCAACATCACCTGAAGTGATATTTCTAGAGGTGTTTTGCTGAAGCCTTTGTTGAACTAAAACAATTTCTTCAATATCTACACATGTGTAAGGGTTACCCTAAATGCCCTGTTTCTGGGCATTGCCATGAGCTGTACTGTAGAAATAAATGTTCATATGGGGCTTTCAATGCCTTTTCACTTTATATTTTAATTTCTGCTATATATTGTAGACTATAAAAGTATTGAATGGCTTTCCTGTTGTTTGTTTTCAGCTTTCTTGTTACCATCTGACCCTTCAGACCAGGCCTGCGCAACACGTGGCCTGCTGGTGCTTTTTAAAAACTAATAAGTTCATTGTCATAGCTCTGGCGCTGCCACCGCTCTGCTAGTCACAGAACAGCTGATCTATGCACCAGATTGAGACTGGTTTTTAATTTATCAATGTGGCCCTTTCCCCACTACAAGTTGTGTAGGCCTGGTTTAAGCCAAGTACAGGTAGTCCTTGTTTAGCAACTGCCTTCTACAGTGACCGTTTACAATTATGATGGTGACGAAAAAGTAACTTTGCAACCAATCCTAGCATTTATAATCTTCGCAGGTCTGTACTGGTAGTCCTCGACTTATGGCCACAATTGGGATCAGAATTTCCATTAAGCAATATGCCCATAAAGTGCGATGTCACGTGACTGCACTGCTTAGTGACAGCAATCCCAGCAGTCTCTGTTGCCATTGTTAATTGAATACTACCAGTCGTTAGCCAAGGACCCACCCTAATCCAAGCCATTCCAGGTTTGGTCCCTCCCAGCCCCAAGCCTTGGTTCTTCCAAGGTAAGGGACTGCCTCCCCTTCAACTCCCCTCAACTGCCTATTTCCCCTCATCTCTGCCCTTTTGGCCACTCTGCACCCTGCCTTGCAGGGCAGCAAGCATCCCCAGAACTGCATGGCTCTGGGGCTGCTTGCCACACTGCAGCTCAGGGGTTTCTTGGCGCACCATGGCTCTGGGGCTGCAATAAGCCCCTGAGCCACAATACAATGCAAAGCCCTTCGCAGTGGAAGCCCAGCCCCAGCCTGGCCCAGCAGCATAGTGCAAAGCTGCAGCTGCCCCAGCCCAGTCTCAGCCAAAGTTACCCTCACCAACCTGCACTCTGAGGCCCCTGTCGCCCTGCGCTCCACCGCCCCAGCTGACCTTGGCCATCTTCTTGCTTCCACTGCTGACAAGGCCTGCCTGGCCCAGCCCTTTGCAAGGCAGCTACTGGCCACGTGAAACCATCTTCCCCTTCCTTGCGAGGAAACTGCCATGTGTGACCTGGGGAAGAAAAACTTTTGTGGCCAGCAGCTGCCTCATGAAGGGCCAGGCTGGACATGTTTGTCAGCAGCAGGAGCAAGAAGATGGTGAAGGTCAGCTAGGGCAGCAGGGCCGCAGTGTGTGGGGGGCCAAAAGAACATAGATAGGCAGGTGGATGGAATTAAAGTGACCCTGTGGTCATGTGGGTGGGCTGCCAAGTGTCTACATTTTGATCATGTGACCACAGGGAGCGCTGCAACAGCCATAACTTTGGGTCCCAGTCATAAGTCCCTTTGTTCAGCACTGCTGTAACTTCAAATGGTCGCTGAACAAGTGGTCATAAGTCAAGGAGTACCTGTAAAGCAAAGGAAAGCTGAAGCTGTGGTTTCCCTTAGCAACTGCTTCACTTAACAACCAGGTTGCCAGTCCCAATTGTGGTAACTAAACAAGGACTACCTGTATATATTTTGGGACAATCTGGAGATGCCTCCAGTGAACTCTATAGCAAGCAACTAATTTCCCTTTTCTGCTTTGGTGTGTTTGTAAACATATTCATTTAAAAGTGTGCATTTTACATACTCCAGACCATTCAAAACTTCTTCATCAGAGGGTGTGGTTTCATCTTCTGACTGGTCACTTAAGAGATCACAGCTATGAAGTGCTGAAGTGTCTGCAACCTCCAGAACAGGTGCAATGCTGGGCCTTCTGCCTGTTTTAGCGGCTTCTGAAGGAAGAGTTAAGGTAGTTGCATTTGGAGATCTGCAGCCTGTATCTTGCAAATCTATAGCAACAGTACCTGGGAGAAACAGAAGAAAATGAAAATGATTTAGGATTTGAGGGGGGAGGGGGAAAACCATCCCAACATACTGTAAATGATGTGACCATGAAGACTAAAGGGCCTAACAAGGAAGGGTGTGCAAGAGACTTCAAATGCTAACAAATTTGTTGTTTTGAATATTCAGAGCTGGAAGCAAATTACATCTGAGAGTTTCTGTTTCAAGCTCAGAACAAAACGTGATGTTTCTAGCATTATGGGCTCTTTTGAACAATGTGATTGGACCTTGGATTTTTTGCTTGTGATTGGGTTCTTTTTAAGTTTTACCCCATCCCCCACCCTCATCAGTACAGCAGCAAAGACTAGTCAGTGCCTGTTGCTATCAGTTTAGACTGAATGGTTTGATATGCAGGGCGGAATGTTGTGGCAGACCAACAATTACTAAGCATATGGCTCTCAGAAAAAAGAGCCATTGTAATAGGCAGGAAAAGTCTGTCCACAGCTGCTTGCCTTAGAAAAGTTATTATTGTCTTTTTAAATCCTTTGCTAAGAAGAAGAGCACATATGGGTGGGTTCCAAACAGCCTATGAAAGAAAACAGGTAAAGGAAGGAAAAGGAAATGCATTCAAATATTTCACTGAAAAGTGTGGCAAAGGCCGAATGTTGTAAATTCAAAGCTCACCACCAGTACTAGATTGAAGGTCTAGTATTTACAAGAGTTTGATGCACAGTTGCACTTTATGCATGTTCTACTGTAATGTGTTAAAGCGTAGATTTTGCTGCTTTGTGGAGCCTGGATCGGGGTGGTGTGTGGGTTTGTTTGTTTTTTGTTTTGGTAATGCTAGTATTATTTGTGCAACAGTAAAGCTGTCACACCTTTTTTTTTTCAGCCACACAGCAGAGGTATACACACAGTCATAGCAAAGAGCACCATACCAGTTGCTTTTGGCTAGGCCTGGGCCCTCTGAGGCAAACAAACAGGCTGCAGAAACAAAAAAGGGATTTGCTTTGCATGGTAGTTGGGATGAAATATTAGACCATGTTGATTGCTACCCACCACCCAACCTATAGAAAAAAATGGTCAGGAACTGTAACATCATCATCATCATCATCATCATCATCAATATTAAAAATCTAAATAAATATTTAGGTTCATCATAGCCCATCAAATGCATGAGAAGAAGAGTGTGTGAAGCCTGGAGGCAATGATGACCAAGGTACAGGACTTTTCCTCTTCCTTGAAGCTCAGGGTACATTGCCAGCTGAGTGGGTCTCCAAGCCCATGTAGGTAGGCTAGAGCTCTCTGAGGTGCAACATCTGAGCCTGGAGAGTTACTGGCTGATGAACAAGCATTATTAGAGGGGAGGGGGTGGCATTGCTGGGCCACAGCCACTGACAACACTTTTTCCTTCTGCTTGTTTGCAAATTCCATCCTCTTCCTCTCTTTTATGACCCCATCCTCCTCTCACTTGAATGGTCAGCACATAAAGACTGACACAGAAGCAGCAAACACTGGTTTGGATCAGTCAACTAGATGGCAGAGGACATAGCATCAGACAGGCAGGAAGGTTCCAAGGGGAGCAGTTACAACACCAGTGCGAAGAAGAATGGAGCATGAGAGACAGCAACTAGGAAGAACAAGCTGGAGAACTCCTGGAAACAGAGGCTTTCAGGAAGGAGCATGTAGTCATCCAAGAACTGAAGCAAGGAAAAATCAAGATGTGGATGGGTGAAGACACTGGTGCCAGGAGAAGCCAACAGAAGATCACACTGTATAGGCTTCTGGACAGGTCAGCAATAGAGTGAAATCTTACACAAGAAACGTAAAACTGAACTCAATCCCCTGACAGTATTATCACAAAAGATTCTTATCCTTAAGTGTGTTCACTCAAGAGAGTATGCTATTTTTAAATGACTTAGGTCAGGGGATGAGTTAGGTAACAGTCCTGAAGACAATCTATTCTTGAGACAGTAACCCCATAAAAAAAAAGGAAAATACATTTTATTTATATTATATTTTCAGTTAATCCATTTTTAGAGAAGGCCTTTAAGCCTAAAGGGGGCAATTTGGGATGGGGGGAATGTTTCCAGGAGCAAGGGAAAGGGAGTAGTCTTACAAATAAAGGCACCCATTGATGGGATTATTCACCACTTCTGCTCTCTATTGAACTGTTTGTGAAATAATCTGCCATAATATGGACAATATGCTGACAGCAGTGTTCTCCTTCATTTGGCCAGTCACTGCAAAGACTGCAACAGTCACTGTTATTATGATTTCATTTGACTTTGGGGAGTCTGGTCATCATTAAGGCATTTCTCAGAATGGAAAGGTGAGCAGAAAAATCAGTTTCATACTTGATCCAGTAACATGGAAACTCTGGGTTGATGGAACGAAAAGCAAGCACCATTTCATGTCCAACTGGCTTGTGAATGATGAATCTTTACATATCAGTTATTCAAACAGAAGGTTCAATATTCCATTTCTATTGTTCACCCCAACTCTACTTCACTGTGTATAGTATTTAAAGAAGACAAAACATTGTATGTTTTACTTCTTTTACATTTTACATCCTCTTCTATATCTTAATGAGGCAACATTACTTAGTGTTGCTTACCCATACTAGCAATTATGCTGTGCACTGGCAGTCGAGAAGGACCATGATAAAACAACCTTGATGAGTGATTTTTCCGATGTTGCTCTTGTTTCTTAAAAGCAGAATTTTCTTCTTTTGTGATATTAATATAAAAACATATGTCTGAAGAGCTCATAATATACCGGGGGCCTGGGTTCAGCAAAATATTTTTGTTATCTTCTCTCCTAACACCGATTAAGCAAACACCAAACCTAATGTTAAAAGTAAAAAGAAATGTAGTCAGCAAAAATTGAACAGCATACAGGATATGTGCTTACATCCATTCCTTCATATCCCATAATATAATAAAATCAAGAGAGACAATATGAAAATACTTTATATCCATTTTTAGCCATGTAAGACTCTGTATACAATTCAGCCTAAGAGCAAGTTTTATTCTGCTTTTAGAAAATATAGGATCTGTGCAAAACATCCCAAAGAAAGGCTATCCTGAATTATGGGGGATTTCCCTTCCCTGTAACTCCAGCTTCCGATTAAAGATACTTCACTGCTGGGCCATCTATCTTGGCCTCTTATAATCACAGCTAATATTCAGTCAAGCTTGGCCTTTATTCTTCTCTTTTGGGGCCCAGTGATTAAATGCATTTTAGCATTTGATCTGGGAAAAGAGGCTAACTTAACAGTCTCAAAGTCCCAACTGATCAAGATTACTTCTATGGCCTACATCCAGATGCAATCCAACAGCCCCTCAATTGTAGGGTCATCTTCTTCCATTAAGCCAAACAATACTATGCAATGCCAGTGGAGCAAAAGGGGAATTTCTAAAAAAATGTTGATTACATTTCACTGTAAGAAACTAAACCTACTTTTTGTGTGCATGGAAAGATGCGTATGTGAAACTCTTTCCTTCATACTCAGCAAAAAACACACTCTCCTCCAAGTTAATGTGATATACTTCATTCCCAGAGCATCTCCCATACATTTTCTGCCACTGTTCTGGTGACTGTTGGCCCTCTCTGAAACACAGATATATATAGTGAATTAGTATCACTCTGCACATGTGGGTGGTGGATATATGTAACATGAATAGGCTCCTTTGCCCAACTATATTTACTCTCACAGCAGAGATGGCATCTTGCAGCAATACCTAAGCACTTGCTTCTGGTCTGCTTATGTCACAGGGAGTACGGCATGGAATGATTGAGACTACTTTTTCCCCAATACAGACCGTTTTCTTTTATCCTCATCTGCAGTTTACCCTTTTCCCCTTTAAAACATTTTGCATGATTGGACAAACTTACTATTGGGAAAGTTCACAATGGGGGAAGGTCAGGAATTGTTTTGTTACGGTCCAAATAAACAGGGAAAAAAAAGCAATACAAAATTAAGACAGAATTGATTTTAAATGATTAGCAGAACAATATTCTTCTGCTAACATAATGTCTTACGTTAATATCCATGAGCTGCTGAAAATTGCTAAATTTTCACTGGTTCAGACTTCTGGATATACTTGGGTGAGCACAATAATGCTAATGAGGTTACTTTTTTTTTTTCTCTTTGCCACTTTCAGCTGGCAGGCAAGGCTGCTTTCCAATTTGTTAGCAGGTGTTAATAAAATGCACACTCTTAGTATCTTGATACTTGCCTGGCAAGGTGTGAGGCAGGGTGTCCATTTTTGGGTATACTGAACTGCCACACAGAAGGCTAAACAGCCTTGTGGCTGAAGATCAACTTTTTATTCCTACCACAATAGCTGTATTTTCCTTCCAACTTTCTAATGTTCTTCACTGAGCACACTATATAACTTTACACTGAAATTCACACCTTTTGCTTGACAGACTCCTTTGGTTTAGAAGCTGGAGGACTGGTAGAAAAGTATCAGCTACATCTTTTGCATTCTTATGATGGAAAACTACAGCTGTTTCTTGCTACCTAGCTTTTAAAGATTTCATCAGGGATGGAGGAGGGAGGGAAGGAGGAAAAAGTTAAGAAACAAAAATATAAATAATAGGGTTGCATAAAGACATACAAGTTAGAGGTTTAGGACAATTCAATCAATGAATACCAGTCAACTTTTTTCTTCAGATATTATAAACAACCTACATCACCTGCTTTGATTGGAAAGAAATCTAATTTTGGACAAAATGGATGTGATGTTAGAGATTGGTGAAAGATAAAATAATAGCAATTCTCAAGTACAGTTAAGAGATTGGGGGAGGGTGTATTTATATAATCTGCCAATCTCTCTTCAGAAGTATTCACCTTCCTGAAGTAAATCTCCCTTCTTGGCTTTAACTATAGTTGGGATATTTGTGATACCCCAGGTTGATTTTAGTATCTTCAATAAATGACTAGCTCCATTATTTATGTACCAACCTCCTGAATATATTTTTAATAAATACAAAGTAGCGTTCATTATGTTTTTCGCCATAGCCAACAGACAATTTTAACACTATCTATTTAACTGGATGCATTAGTACTTGAAAGTAAATTAAACACTATTTAAATGAATGCAGTGCAGATTTTTCTCCATTGGTAGCCAGTTTATGAAATCTTTATTCCATAATAACCATGTGAAATGGAATACAGATTTCATAAACTGCATTGGGTGCCAATTTAGAAAAGGCTGTGCCATCAGTCTCTCAGAAGAAAGGGTACAAAGCAAAGTCTTGGATCTCAGGGAAAAAGCACACAGGAGAATGCTATCTCTAAACCCTGAGAATAATTAACCCAGTCTTCCCCAATCTGTTGACCTCCAAAAGTGCTGTATTTTATTTCCTGTAACTACCAGCAATTGCCCATGTTGGTTAGGGATTATGGGAGCAGAAAGCACAAAATGTTGAGGGTGGAATCAAGCACGAAAAGGCCACTTAAGCCACGGATAGGATCAATATATTACCTCTCCTGTTCAAGCAATAACCAAAAATAGAAACCTTAATTGCTTTGCCAGTGTAACAATAAATTAAAAGGAAGATGACTGTTGATCTAAATATTTTTTTAAATTTTCCTTCAGGAACAAAGAAAGCTGGTAACTAACAGCCACTTGTCATGTTTTCATTCTATCCAATGAGATAAATCTTATACTTACTGCCCTCTTGAAGTATGAACTAATAAGGTGATAAGCGTTGATGTAGCTGGGCAAATACAGTTTAAAGCCAACATTGCATATTTAAATTCCTCTTCACATACAACATGATCTGAGGAGGAGGAGGAGGAGGAGGAGGAGGAGGAGGAGGAGAGGAAGAAGAGGAAGAAGAGAAAGAAGACGACTTTATTTGAGGCATGAGACATGAATGGCCAGCTTGTATCCCACAGACTAAAACTGGCCTGTGAAATCATTTTTCTGCATTCTCTGGAAACTTTTTCACAATAAAATTTTGCTGCACAATTTACAAACCCTAAGGAAAAGGAACAGGATAGTGGTGAAAACAGAGATACCACAAGGTGATATTACACCTCCCTTATTTTTGTGTACAGGGTGGCAATTGGAGTAAAATGTTTTCCTAGCAGTGATGTTCCACTTGTAGAATGTATTCCCAGGAAAAGTCAGTAGACTGATGTGTTTTAAAAGCTAACCAAAGACTTTTTTTTTTTTTAAATTTCCCAGCAAGTTTAATCATTTCCACAGGGTTTTAATGCTGTTTTGATCTCCTCTGCTTTTTGTGTTGACTTTTTTGTACCATTTTTGTTTTGTCTTAATTTACTGACTACCCTGGCAATATTTGGATCAACTATTTACTAAGATAAATAAATAAATGCATTTAAGATGTAACTGCATGGAGCTCCTTTAATGTTCTACATGTAATCCTTAACTGGGATGCTACAAATGCTAATAGCAGTTAAAGATGTGATTTTTCAATCTGATGTAGTATGGGCCATTTCCTCTTTATTTCTATTTCAATCTGTCACGTGTAGATCAGCAAGAGGACTGTTATTTGAAAAAAAGCTAATATTTAGACTGGGAACCCATACTCTTTGCAACACAGAAATATTTATAAAGAACCTGTGAGGTATGCACTGTCAACATTATTTGAAGGGTATAACTATAGTAGTGTTCAAAATTATAAAATTATGGAAGTGTGTTTTTTTTAATTAAAAAAAAATTAAACCTTGCTAGAACTGTACTGCCTGGCAAGTTTCAGCATTTAGCCAAGTTTGGCTGATCTTGAAAAGCTAAGAAGGTTCAGACCTAATTAGAACTTGGATGGAGAGTACTACCTCAGGAAATTTCAGGTGCAATGAAACTTTGATTGTGGGATTTAATGATTAGATGGTTTGTGTTGATAGAAATAATGTGA